CGATGAACATCGATGAACGCTCCCACCTTACTGAGCCTGACCCTGGGCCATCACCGCCCTAGCGTCAATGTCCGAATGCTGCTCACACCCTATTGAAGCCTATGAAGCGTTCGTAGGTGCGGATCTCACGTGGAAGACGTCCCTGTCTGTGGAGGGCGTTCGATCTTTGATTCAGCGCGGTTGGGCGTCGTCTAAATCGCTACCACGTACCATGGCTCATGAGCCTATAAAGCACGGCCTCAAGACCGAAGCCCTTACGTGTGCCTTCATCAACACCCTGCGCCGCGTACTCGTCATAAACGTTCGCGCCCATGTCAATGAACGGTTACTACGATGAGTACATCGAGTCTATTCGTTCTATCGCGGTACCTACTTCTGCTGTGGTTCCTTACGTTGATCCCAAATATCCGGGCTCAGGTGGACGAGATCGTACACCAGCTCATACCGTCCGGTGCCATCATATTTGGCCGGCCGTTCGCTGTAAAGACGGTGATTATGGTTGCAGGGGCTGGCTTCGTGATCGTGAATGCAAGCGAGCTAAGAACTTGCGAGCGGATGCATTATACTGTGGATTCTATCTTCCCCCTGGCGCAGGTGTGTTGTCTCTTGCGCTTGAACTCCATGCCCAGTACTCATTCCCAACCAACTAGCGGCGGACCTGCATCTAAACCCTCTTTGGGATCGCACGCACGCCTACGGGCTGTATCCCCCGACTGAGGAGCAGCTGAAAGCGCGCAGGGACTTTCTGATGACACGTGGCGAGACGCATGTCGACCCAGCTCCGGATATCATCCACAGCTTGTACACAAGACGTTCGTCACTGTCTGAACATTGACAGATCGATACGCAATAGCTGACTCGCCCCTATAGCTATACCCGCTCCATGGAGCCCGCCTCCGGCTCTTGCTGCGGGTCCTAGTGGTTCTTCTGGTGAGCGTCCCGGCCATCTTGAAGGCCCCGCACTCCCCAGGACGCCTTCGAAACGTCCAGCTTGTAAATTCAACATTGACTCTGCGCATGGGGTTAACTAATGTCGTCTCAAGCAGAGCCAAGTAACTCACCCGACAAGAAACGCATCAAGGAGATCGTCCGGGCGGCGAAGCAGGGCAAGGCTGGGGGCGAATCTTCAACTGGACAATCGACATGATGCACCCAAGCACGATCACGATGGTCTTTTGCACTGCGTGAGCATCATAGATTTGACCAATTCATGCGACGCCTAATCCGAGCTACGAATCCACAGCCGCACTGAACGCGGGCATTTCGCGCACCGAGCGTGTATTACTATAAGTTTTAGTGCAGCGCACAGGGATGTCTTCCTGGGACGCTATCTTGTTGAGTTTTACATCACGCTGTGTTTCGTGTCTCGTTGCATACTTCTTCCCCAACGCATCCCCGAACCTCCGCCCTTCGCCATTGCATACCAACGCTATTGATTCGTCTGGCCTGATTGTACTCCGGCTTCATTCCAAAGTTGCTGCTATACACATGAAGCTAGTCCGGGCCGCCGCTGCATCATGTGGTTGCCATGGCCGAGGCGCAGCGCTCAACGCGCCGCCGCGACTATGCTCCTCCCGCGTAGCTTCCGAAAGACTATTTCTCTGCGAAAGCTTAAGATAGCTCGTGTCTGCGAGAGAAGGGAGCGCAGCTCGGACCTCAAGGTCGTGCCGGATGGGGAGGAAGCCAGATAATGGACGGCCCCCTCGGCCATTGTACGCCGCTAGATGTTCCATGATCTACGAAATGCGCAGAGTGTAGGGTTTAACATGACTCTGATTGCGTGGGAACGTCAGAAGCCTGCGGAGGGTTACGGATGGCGATCAGGACGCGTGGGTTCCTTTCCTGGAGGCTTCGCCCCCAACCTTGTAAATGCAACGAGATGGGACGCCGCCGAGGCGAGATGCGGGCTTTACCCAGAGCTACGGGTCAGGAGTGTAGATCGGGTAGCCCAATGTGCTACATATGCATTCAGCTGCCCAAAAGGGGATCATGAGTTTCCTGTCGGTCGAGATCTTGGCACGTGTCAATGCCACCTTGGCGCCAACATGATTATCCGTTCGATCTATAAAGGCGTCGCAGATTCCGAGCATCTCGGCCTTTCCCCTTTCCCCCCATTGCCCGCCCACCCCGCCTTCACGCCTCTGCTTAGCTCCTCCCTATCTTCCCCTAGAAATACCATGGTCCCCGCCCTTTGCTCACGGCTTCCTATGTCGTCTTGCCTGCTAGGAAAATGTTGATTGACTGCAGCGGACCGCCTGTGATGGGCCGTTCAACGAAGGCAGATCAAAGTCGTCGCAAGGTGGAATTGCGCAAGCCGTGCTTGCTTGTCGAAGGGGTCTCTTAAAGTGCGTACCATATGCATGAGATTGTTCGTAGCTCCTGACTGTAGCTCGCAGGTGAAGAATCTTGGAAACGAGATCCTGTGGCCTGTCATTTTCGAGCCGGCGCGCGCTCAAGCGCTGGGATCGTCACGCGGAATCGCGGCTCGAGTCGTCACGCGGACTTGCGCGCTCTCGACATCACACGGTCTCGCGACTTGGTGCTCTTCAACCCCCACCACCGTTTCAACCGCATCGTCGTCGCCCGTGCGTTACCACACATTATCATTCATTGTACAAAATTGTCTCAAGCGCCTCGTAAAGGACCGAGACTAGTCACCGCGTCGACGACCGCGTCGTCGCTCAACTACTTTGCCCGCGCGTGTGCGGTTGCAGCTACCCCGACCCTCGATCGCTCGCGTTTCGTTCATGAGCGGTCATAACAATATGAGTATAAACGCGGACGGAATAAGTACGTACTTTGTTTGCCATTGATCGGACGTATCTGACCGACCAATTAGTTGCCCAACAAGCAGTGCGGGACCTCCACCGCTTTCTGCATCATTTTGCAGAACCTGGTGCTGGGCCACAAGTTATCCCCGAACTCGGTGCGTTCCCTATCGCTGTATTGGTTACTGCTACTGATGGTGACTCTAGAGCAGGACGACAATCACGCAAGTCTGGGTCGTGCTGCCGCTGCCCTTCGGCGTCTACTGCGCCGCGTACGTCGGCTTTTGCGCCCGGCTCGTCAGTGATGCAGGCTCCGCGTCAGGCTTCCAACAATCACTGTGTGCTTTGGGATC